GTTTTCTGTGGTCGGTTGGCAGGAAGATTCTCGAAACTCTCTGACAATATCAGAATCATCTGTGAGTGGGAAAAAGTTTGTAAAGATGTGCACATGGTTTAGCTTCAATGAATGTGTGAAGCATTGTTTAATAAAAGAGTAAAATGTCCAATCAGTAGCAAGGCGTTAATTAAACAGTATATATGTCATGACTCTACCTACCCTGCTGTCCAGAATGAACAGACAGAGCTACAGGAGAGGGTGTTTCCAGTTTCAGTGGGAAACAGTACAACCCCATCTGTATGTGTGAGTGTGCGGGTCCAGGGTTTGCTGGTGACACATCACACAGAAAACACGGGCCAAGATCATGCCCCAGGGTAGCGACCAGTCATCTCTGGGTGCTGATTACTTTTATCTGCGTTTTCTGCCTCTTGCTCCAAGAAAACTTGTACTGCATGCCACAGGCGGGAAGGTGGGAAAGCTCCAAGAAGCTGGCTCTGCTGGCGGTGGTCCTCCCGGTCAGCCCTGGAGAGGCCTGCAGCCCGATGGCCTCGCCAGAGCCCTTTGGAGCAGAAGCCTCTTCTGCTCAAGAACAAGGGGCTCCAGACTCTTGCATCTTCCCATACATGGAAAAGCACTAAATTCCTTAACTTGAGATATCTGGTTTCCTTTAATTAACAGTAATCTTTTGATGTGCAGACTACCTGCCCTTTGTTGCAAAACTCCTATATATCCTGACTCCCCCATCTCCTCAGAGCAGTTCGCTCAGGGTTACTTGAGATGCTGCCTCCTGGGCTTGAAGTCCTAAAAATTTCCACTGAATAAAACAGAACTGTCAAAAAAAAAACAAATAAAGAACAAGGGGCTCTTTCTTCACTTCCTGACATCAGCATCATGGGTGCACACAGTACGTGCCGGCAGCACAAGTACAGTTAAGATAATCAGCGCCACCCGCATGGACAGCCCTGGGGACCCCATCAAACCCTCTGTGCACCCCAAACCCACCCCCGTCCCCTGGGCAGGCCTGGCAGGATCAGGGAGTCCTCCTCACCCCACTTCTCCAACACCCGCCTGGCCTGTGGGTCAGATGCGCCCCCATGTCCCCCCACCCCCAGCTTCGTGAAGCCCACCAGGTCTCCGCTTGTTCAGAATCCACCTGCGAAAGCCCCAGTGCTGGTGTTCTGGCGTTGGCGCTTAAGCACTGCAGACAAAGGGGCGGTTGTCACCCAGAGGGTAGGCAGATGACCCCTCTGTAAATGAACCCCAACTGGCATATGAGACATCCTGGGCCCCATTGCCAGCTGGTATTTGGGGTTTTCCAAGTGCCCTCCCCTCTCTTGTGTCCTGGGACCTTCAAAAGCCCTATCAGTCCCCATGGGACCACCCTTGGGTGACTTGCTGAGACCACTGGGCTGGTGGTGACAGAGCCATAGCCACACCCACGAGGCCTTAGGGACAGAGGCTGTACAACAGCCCAGGAGGGGGACCCCGGGAGACCTTTGGAACGGTGGGGCCTTCGTGCTGGTGCTGTAGTTACACTTTGCTGCTGGGTGGTTCACAGGCGGATGCCGTGGTGTACAGTGCCTGGGCCTCCCTTGGGCTGTGGTCATGAGGGTGGGATCGGTCAGGGCAGCCTGGAGATGTGACCCTGCTCAGCAGTGTTTCCCATGGAGCTCGAGCCCCAGCCCCGCCCCCCACAACTGAGGGGCAGGAGCCTGGGGGGGCTTAATGAGTCCCAGGACTCGGGGACCTGTGAGCCTGTGAAGCTGCGTGCCACCAAGGTCCGGTGACACGAGATTTCCTATTGCGTAGAAGTTCTCGAAAGGAATTGTAAAGCAAACAGTGGAGGGTATTGAAGCAGCCCGGAGGCTGGCAAATAGAACACTCACCGTTCAGCAAATGTTTGAGCACCTACTGTGTGCTGGGCATTATTCCAGGTAATGGTTATCAGTGGGCAAAACAGAAAAACCCTATTCGGTTGAATTCACATTCAGTGAGGTTGACAGGCGACAGACACAGTGTTTGAAGGGGATGAGTTTTGGGGGTGGGGCAGGTGCGGGGGCCACGGTGCCAATGGAGCTTCACAGCAGGGCCATCAAGGCAGCTCAGTGAGAAGGCGGCCCTGAGCAGAGCCCAGAGGAATCCAGGGGCCTGGTCTTGGGGACATTTGAAGGGAGTGTCAGCAGCCAGGGCAGGTAAAGGCAGAAACGTGCCAGGTGTTCAAAGAAGGGCCTTGGGGGTAGGGGCGGGGGGCACGGGCTGTCGTCAGGCCTCAGGTCATACTCGCAGTGGGACCTGGGACCTGAGGTGAGGGGCTTGCTGCTGAGAACAGGCTTCAGGGGTGGGAGCCGGGAGCCCTCGGGTGGTGCTGACTCGAGTGAGAGGCCATCAGTGATCCTTCGGGGTGAGAGGGTGGCCATCGCCACGTGCACATGGATTGGGTGTGGAGTGACAGAAGCCAAGGATGACTGCTTTGGCACTTGAACATCAGAAACAGAGGGTTATCATCACTGATGGGGAAGACTAAAGCAGAGACGGCTGGAGGGCAGGACAGGAGCTTGTCTGGGACAAGCTGAGGGGGTTCGAGGGGGGCTGCTCAGGCGGTGGGGGGCCTGGCCGACTGGACAGTGCTGTGAGGCCGAGGGCCCGGACAAGAAGGCCAGGGCCCCTTCCCAAGTGGAAAATCGGGCCCTGGGCCTCTCGACTCATCCGGGAAGCTTGAGGGCCAACCCTCCTGGAACAACCCCCTGGGCTCTCCCAGGGGAGTCCATGGGCCCAGCTCAGACTGTCCGGCTCCTCTCCTCAGCCCTGGTCTCATGGAGGGAGGGGAGGGCTGTCTCTGCTTGGTCCCGGCTGGTCTGGTCTCTCCCAGATCTGAGTATGTGCTGGACACGTGACTTTCTTCTCACCCAGGTGCTTGTTTGGAGTCCCAGTCACACAGTTGCTCTTGTCTGGAGAACACAGTGTGACCACCCCGCAGCCCCATGGCTACGCCTCACCCTCTTCCCTCCCTGTCCATGTGTCTGCACAGGCCTGTGAGCACTGCACGGGCAGCATCTGGGAATTCCGGGAGGAAGGGCGGGGGGCAGCTTGTCCTCAGATGGCTGTTGCGGGGGGTGAGTCCCAGGTGTCAGTTGACTGGTCTCCTTAAGAGGGATGGGCAGCCTGGACTAGCTGAAAGCAGGAAGCACTGCCTTGTCTTAGCAGTGTCCCCATGTCCAGAGGAGGACTCAGCTGCACCCATGGACTGCTGTCACTGTCTACCACTCTGGTGCCTTGGCGGCCAAGTGCCCACTTGAAGGCACAGGGCTGCAGCGGAGGCTGGGGTTCACCAGGGTCCCCCGCCCCATCTCTGCCTGGTTACAGAGGTCATGGTGGGTGCCCCGTGTGCCCGGCCTCAGCTCTAACTCTCCTGGAGGCTGTGTGCTTGCTGCCCAGCCCCCCACCAACCCCAGGCCCAGCCCGCACGCAGCCTGTCAGGCAGGCACTCGGCACTCCCTCCTCTTTGCAGGTGGACAGACTGGACGCCCCAGACAGACTGTGGCAGTGAGAGGAGCACATGGTGGCACCTGCCCCTCTCCTGTTTGGTAGGGGGCAGCCTGTAGCCCCTAGTCCCCTGGGGAGGGGAGGAGAGTGGGGCAGTGATTGACACCGCCTGCCCTTCCCTGGCTGGGTTTCGGGCAGGGTGGGATGGACGGGGAGGACAAAGGTCAGTGCTCCAGGACTGCTGGACTGGCATGGCCTCATCTTCCCAGATCTGCATGCCTGGCGGCTGCCCAGCTACAAATACTGCTGTGTCCCCCCCCCGCCCCCAACCGCCTGGCCGCAGGCAACAAGCCTGCTCTTGCTCTGCACTGGAAAGCTGCCTGGATGGCCTGGCCATGAGCAGTCAGAGCGGTTGGTGTCCTCTACACAGAGGCTGCAGGAGGGACACAGGCCTGAAGTTTGTGGGCAGGCAGCACAGAGCCTCAGGCCTCCCACACCTGTGTCCTCCATACTCAGGCCCACCCAGCATTAATGTCAGTCTGTTTCTTAATATTTTGATGGGCATGCATGGACGCAGCCCACTGAGCTAAGTAGGTGTCTGTGTGGGGACGAGGTTACAGCCTGGCCAGCCCTCTAGGGGCCCCACAACAGCAACTCCCACCATCCCTGCAGCCTCTGTGTGGTCTGGGCTGGCCTGAACCCTGCTCCTTGGACCCCTGGCCACTCGGGGGCAGCAGGAGTCCTCACCCTGGGCCTCTTCTTCCGCAGGCCGCCGCTACGCAGACAACAGGCCCACTGCAGGCCCGGCCTGCCGAATCCCCCGCCGGCTCCATTGTGCAGCTTCCGCGGGGAGGGCGCCGGGTGCAGCACCCTCTACGGGTCACTAACCTCCCCAAGGAGCGCGTCACCCCAGAAGCGCAGAGAACCCACGGGAGACGGGACGCCTGGACGTCATTTATTTTGCTGGAGCCCAGTGATGGCAGCCTCTGAGCCGCCCGGGGCCTGGGGCGGCCACTGACTGCCCGAGGCAACCGCTGCGGCCGCCGCGCAGGAGGTGGACTCCGACCACTGGGCCCTCTGGCTGGAGCCTGCACTCTTGGGGAGTCGAGCGCAAGTACTCCCAGGCGCAGGGGAACGGCGCCCTGTCCACTCCGCGCTGGCAGAGCTGCCCCCACCCAACGGGTCACTTTGCGGACCCGCTGGACAGAACGTGTAACTCGCACATTAAATGAAAGTCTGTTTATCCAGGCCGAGCTTCCCCGCCGGTGCTGGCGTGGGCGGGAGGGGCCAGAAGAGCTGCGGAGCCTCTTGTGGGGGGAGGGCGGTGAGCAGGGCTTGTCAGGGGTCCTCTCCCCACCGTGTGCGCCGCCCGGAGCCTGGAATCCCGCGGCGGCCTCGCGGCGCTTTGGGTGCGGGGCGGCCCCGCCCTCCCGGTAGGGAGGGGGCGGCCCCACACGCCCCGGGGGTGGGGCTCCGGGGGCGGTGCCCAGTCGGGCCCGCGCGGCCATTGGCTGGGCCGCCGGCCCACCCGGCCTTAGTTTCCCGCGGGCTCCGGGCGGCCCGGGGGCAGGGCCGGGCTCGGACTACGCAGGGCGGAGCCCCGGAGAGACGCGGCCGACCCGCCCCGGCCCATAATCGGCGCCGCCGCCGCCGCCAAGACCGAGCGCAGGAGCTCGGACCCGAGGCCGCCGCCGGGCCCCGAACCCCGCCCGCCATGCCCGCGCCCCGCGCTCTGGCGGCCGGCGCGCCAGCGCCTGGCAAGGCCGCGCTCACGCACCCGGGGAAGGCGATCCTGGCAGGTGGGGCACGCGCACGCGGACCCCGATCCCCACCCGACCCCGCCGCGTTTCCGGGTGGGTCCGGGACACCGGCTTTGCCGCGCTTCCGGACGGGCCCGGGCCCCTCCGCGTGTCCCCCCGGGCCCCCCGCTAGGACCGCAGGAGGGGCGTGGGCCCGGCTCCCGGGCGGCGGGCAAAGTCCGGGCGGGGGCAGGGGAGGGGCACGCCGGGAGGGAGGGGGAGGGGTCTCAATGCGGTCCGGGTCTCGGTCCTTCCCCGCAGGCGGCCTGGCGGGTGGCATCGAAATCTGCATCACCTTTCCCACCGAGTATGTGAAAACGCAGCTACAGCTGGACGAGCGCTCGCACCCACCGCGCTACCGGGGCATCGGTGAGTGGGGGCGGCCGGCGGGGGCGGGCAGGCCGGCGGGTGGGGTCGCTGACCGCCCCCTCCCCCAGGGGACTGCGTTCGGCAGACGGTCCGCAACCATGGCGTCCTGGGCCTGTACCGCGGCCTCAGCTCCCTGCTCTACGGCTCCATTCCGAAGGCGGCCGTCAGGTGAGGCGGGCTCGGGGCCCCGGGGCCGCGGGAGGGAGTCCCGGCCCCGCGGCGGCCCCTCTCATGCTTCTGCCTCCCACCGCAGGTTCGGGATGTTCGAGTTTCTCAGCAACCACATGCGGGACGCCCAGGGACGGCTGGACAGCACGCGCGGGCTGCTGTGCGGCCTGGGCGCTGGTGTGGCCGAGGCCGTGGTGGTCGTGTGCCCCATGGAGACCATCAAGGTGGGCAGGTCTCGGTAGGGGACAGGCGTGAGAGAGGGCCGGGGTGGTGGTCTTGTGCCCGGTGGAGACCATCAAGGTGGGCAGGGGTCTGCCTGGGGAGCCTGGAGCAGGAGGCCCACTGGAAGAGCCTTCTGTGGAGTGGATTCTATTCTGGAGGCAGTGGGAAGACAAGGTCTTAAAAAACTTACGAGCACAAACCATAAGGTAACACGTGTTTGCTGCCTAAGTTGTGGGGAAAAACCAGCAGACATGACGGCAGAGGCTCCTCGGTAAGGTGGCCCTCTTGCTCCTGGGGCCACGTGTCTCAGAGGCCAGGTGTGCCCTTGCCCTGGGCCTTGGGAGCCAGCGCCTTTGCTTCCCTCTTTCTCAGGTGAAGTTCATCCATGACCAGACCTCCCCCAGCCCCAAATACAGAGGATTCTTCCACGGGGTCAGGGAGATCGTGCGGGAACAAGGTGAGCCACTCAGCCTTACCCTCAGGTGGGGTTAGGGACCTGGGTCCGGCTGGAAACAGCTGGCACCTCCCCTTCCTGCCTTGGCGCTCCTGCGGGCTGGGGCCTGGAGGCGTCAGTGTGACCGCAGTGCCTGCCTGCCCCAGGGCTAAAGGGGACGTACCAGGGCCTCACGGCCACCGTGCTGAAGCAGGGATCCAACCAGGCCATTCGATTCTTCGTCATGACCTCCTTGCGCAACTGGTACCGAGGTGCGTCTGTTCCCCAAGACCCTACCTCCAGGCCTGGAACCCAGCCCTTGTCCTCCGTCCCCTTCTGATCGCAGCCCTCACGCCCATCCAGGGGACAACCCCAACAAGCCCATGAACCCGCTCATCACTGGCGTGTTTGGAGCCATCGCGGGCGCAGCCAGTGTCTTCGGGAACACTCCTCTGGACGTGATCAAGACCCGGATGCAGGTGGGGGCGGGGCCTGGGCGGGACCGGGAAGGGGTGGGACTGGCTGCTGAATCCGCAGCTGCTGGTGTTCTGCAGGGCCTGGAGGCGCACAAGTACCGCAACACGTGGGACTGCGGCCTGCAGATCCTGAGGAACGAGGGGCCCAAGGCGTGAGTGGGGGAGGGGCAGGGCTGCCGTCCCCACCCCAGGCCCCCGCCTTCCACCTGGGTCACACCTCACCTCCTGTCCACCCATCCCAGGCCCTCCCTTTGTCCTGTCCCCAGGGAGTCTGCTCTTTCTGCTCTTGCTCCTCCCTCGGATCTCTGGACCCACCCACACTTTCCAGACACGCTAGCTTCATCTTCTCTTCACCCTCCCCCCTCAGGTTCTACAAGGGCACCGTCCCCCGCCTGGGCCGGGTGTGCCTGGACGTGGCCATCGTGTTCGTCATCTATGACGAGGTGGTGAAGCTGCTCAACAAAGTGTGGAAGACAGACTGAGCCCCGGGGTCTGCGCATGGGCTGCTCCCAGCGCCCCCTTCTCACAATTGCAGTGCAGTCGTGCCAAAAGGCCCCCTTCTCCTGTCCCTTACAGTCCATGGCCCAAGGCTGTCCCCTGTGGCCATCGGGTCCATGTGTCCCCTGTGGTCTGTATGACACCACCGTGGTGTCCATGTGTCCAGCTGAGACCGGGTGTTCCTCTGGCCTGTGAATCTGTGCCCACTTGTCCACGTGCTTACTCGTATGCCTGTGTTTCATGTTTCGTGTTCTGTGACCCTGTGCCCCACTTCCCGGGGTGCCTGTGTGGCCTTGGGTCACGGCCCTGTAGCCATGGCCTGGTCCCAGCCCGGTGCCTTCCACCCTGGGCAGCAGGGGCATCACCCTGGCCTACCACAGCTGCCTCTGGGCCTCAGCCTGGCCTCACTGCATTCCAGGGGCTGCGTACCCCCCGCTTCTCCTGCCACTGGCCTTAACCAGCCCTTGGGCCCTCCCTCCGCCCAGGACAGGGTGGCACCTGCCACTCTCAGGACCACCCTTCCAAGGCAGAATAAACTGGATCCTGTTGCAGCCTCTTGTCCCTGTGTCAGCCCATCTGTGGGTGGGCAGTGGTGGCCACACCTCTGCCAAGGGCAGGCCCACTCCTCATCCGAGGACACTGTTGGGGCCAGGCAGGCTGGTGGGCAAGCGAGCTGTGGCCACAGTGTTAGCCCCTTGGGAGGCCTGACACCAGGCCAAGGAACATCTGGCCTCCATCCAGGCCTTGCCTGTGGCCTTGGGGCAAGATCCTGCAGGGTCACCTGGCAGGCAACATTGAGTGGGTAGAGGAGAGCTGCCCCACGCTGGTGGCTGCCCCTGGAGACAGTGCTCTCGGGCTCTTGTCTGTCCTGCAGCCTGTGGCCCAGCCCAGCTCACCCCCTCATGGTTTCCCTGTGATGGTCTGCTCAAGGGGCACTGCTTTGGGGTGACCAATTTTTGGTTCCCTGAGACTCTGAGCACAAGGTCCTTTGGTTTTTTTTTTTGGCTGCGTGTGGGCTTCCTCCAGTTGCAGGGAGCAGGGCTACTCTTCGTTGCAGTGCACGGGCTTTTCATTGCGGTGGCTTCTCCTGTTGTGGAGCACCGGCTCTAGGCGCACAGGCTTCAGTAGTTGCGGCACGCGGGCTCAGTACTTGTGGGTCGTGGGCTCTAGAGCGCAGGCTCAGTAGTTGTGGCGCACGGACTTAGTTGCTCCACGGCATGTGGGATCTTCCCGGACCAGGGCTCAAACCCGTGTCTCCTGTATTGGCAGGCAGATTCTTAACCACAGCGCCACCAGGGAAGTCCAGGAGGTCCTTTCTTAATCCTTCATTTAGGCTGGGAGGTAGCAGCCCTGGGGCAGGAAGGGGTGGGCACTTAGAGCCCTCACCCCACAGCTCAACCTCAGGAAGGTGTCCCTCTTGCTGAAGACTCCCTATCCCGGGACCCAGGCACAGCTGGGAGCCCAGCCCAGCATGGGGGCCAAAGAACCCTGAACTGGAGGGCCCCTGTGGCCCAGATCTGGCTGGGAACCACCACCCACAAGCCAGGTGGAGGAGGTGTGAACAGGATGGGATAAGCCAGTGCCCCAGGCTGTGAGGGGGCGAAGGACCTTCCTGTCCAAGGGACTACACGGCAAAAGCCACACAAAGGGCTTAGCTCAGACTGGGAAATAACCTGCCCGCAGGAGACTCCCAGCAAGCAGGTCCCATTCCTGGAGCTGCTCCTTCTGGGAGAGAGTTCCTCACCCCAGCAACCTCACACAGCACCTGGTGTCTGGGGCAGATCTGGGGGCTGAGGGTGGGCTTGAGGGTGCAAGGAATGTGGTTTTGAAGGACCAGGCTGTGTGTGTGCCCTCAGTGCTCACAGGAGATGCAGGAGAAAGGGCCCAGCAGCAAAGCTTCCCTGTTCACAGGCTGAGGCAAGCCACCTAATCTTCATTTCCCAACCTGTGAAATGAGGTGACACAAGAACCCACTCCAGTGGGCTATGAGGCTGGAATGATGTAATGTCTGTAAGGCACTTAGAACAATGCTTTGCACAGTGAACCCTCACAGGAGGCTGCTGGCAGTGCCCCAGGGTCCCAGGTAGTTCCTAGAGCGGGCAGAGCCCAGGAGCTGGGCCCTGAGGGGACTCAGTGTCCTGGAAATCTGACCTCTAGGAATGGCGTCTGCTCATTGACTGCACCCCAAGTCTTGTCCCCATCCCCTTTCACGAGGAGGAAGGGGACAGGCTACTCTGAACTGAAAGAAGGGCATGGAGACCTGTACCCAGGAGGGGCAGGGACCCCTCTCTTGTGCCACACAGCACAAGGTGGACAGCAGGTAGCCCAGCCAGAAAAGTTGGTTGAGCTGGGCCTGTGTCCCCTGGGGCTGTGAGCCTGGAGAATCCACCAGCCCCAGTGGACCACTGGTCCCCCACCCTGGCCCCACCTGTTCACAGGTAGCTGGAATAAGTCGGCAGCCTCAGTTCCTGGAACTGAGACCTGAGGGGGGGGCGGGGTCTCTGAGCTGAGAGAAGACCAGCAAGGCTGGAGGGAAGTGAGCAGGTGGAGAGTGGCTAGAGAGGCAGGCAGATGCCTGGAGGGAGCTCAGCTGCATTTAACCAAGATCTTGAAGGCTGCAGGGAGGAGGCCGATGGCAGGGGACCTTGCCTTTGCAGCACTGGGGCAAAGGGGCAGAATGATGTGGGCAGATCTTTGAGCAGTCGGGAGACAAAAGAATCAACTTCCAGGGTGATCCCCCACCAACCTGGACACACAGGCCAGGGCCAGGGAGAGCCCCAGGAGGTGACTGGGTCTGCATATCAGAGGAGAGATGTGAGCTGAGTGTGGAGACTCCAGGTCACCATATGCTGCGCACAGCCAGAGCCTCTGTGCCCAGCTGGAAGCCACTCAGCCTCAGGCAGCCTTCACCATCTGGCATCGTCCTGAGCCTGAGATCATCACAAAATGTGCCCTGGACAATGGCCTCAGACACAGGCCAAGGGAGCAAAGGGTGAGGTGGTGGCCACTCCTGCGACAGGGCTTGGCCAACCTCCAGCCCCATCACAGAGGCCCTCAGGCAGCTGCCCTCCAGGGCCCCCCCGCCCCCACTTCCTTGAGGCCTCTCCTCACCCACTATTGCACAAGCGTCCTCTGGTTTTTCCATGTCCTTGTGTAGGTGATGAATGGCAATCAGAGCTTAGTACACACACACAAAGAGTCACTCCTGACAAATGGGTCTCTCTCCTTTCAGCCAACAAAGAGAAATCTGTTTTTCGGGTTGTGCCCTCAGCCTTCACAGCAAACACAATCTGAGCTGAGGATGCCAGAGTATTTTTCTCACTGACATTCTACTTCCTACGTGTTCTCAGATTCCCTGGACCAGGATCCTTTGTATAAGTCACAGAATCGGGGGGGGTCTGAGGATCTCCTGCCTCCTTAAGATCTGGCAACAGAGCCAAGGAGAGAGATGCAGGCACAGCGGAGAACTAGCCGAAAAGGACAATGGGAGGGCCACAGAGAACACCTAGGATCGTGGACAAACGTAGCCTAGGCCAACAGAGTGGGTGAACCATGGACAACATGGTGGCCCCTGGTGTGGCCTTGTAGCTCTTCTCTTCCCACGCCCATCTGGCGAATATCCCTAAGAGTAACCTCCCCTCTGCTCAGATTGGTCTAGGCCCTGACGCCTGACACTCCCCAACTGTTGTCACTTTTGTTTCCTCGGCCTGGCCAGCCACTCCCACTTATTCCTCCATTGGCTGGGCCTGGCCCGGTGGCCCCACTTGGCCACAGGACTGTCATCTCCCGAGTGACCTCCAGAGATGGGCCATCCCAGCGCCCCTGCTCAGCAGCCGGCAGTAGCTTGCCGCCCAACCCCCCCGCTGAAAAGCGATCTAGGGCTCAAGCTCTCGGGCCAACAGGCCTGTATGTCCCTGGCGGCCCTCCAGGCTGACCGCACCCTGGAGCCCCGCCTCCAGCCCACTATCCTCGCGGCCCGAGGGAACACCCCCCGACCCAGGGCTGTGATCGGGGAGGTAAAGAAACATCCGCGACCGGGGCCGGGGCGCGGGGCGAAGCTGTGCCCGCGTGCCGTCAGCTAAAGGCCGCAGACCTTCAGGGCGACTCAGCTCCCAGCCTCGGAGATCCGGAGACACTCAGGAAGTTTTCCGGACCCGCTCGTGAGGGAGGAACCCAACTCGCCGGGGCGGGAACCCGCGACGCCGGCAGGGAGCTCGGGGCCTGACCTCACAGAGAGAGAACCGAGGAGGCTGGGGGGAGCGGCGCCGCTCACGCCCGGAATTCGTGCGGCGCGCGCTGATGGCGTCACTGCGCGCCCGGCCGGCGCAGGCCCGCGCATGCGCTCGGTCGGCAATCTGAAGGCCCCTCCTGCTCACTGCCGTCAGACCCAGGTCCTCGGAGCGGATCGCCTGTGCCCCGACCTCGTCTGCAGCCTCCAACAGTCAGCGCTCGGCCGGCGCAGCCACCATCGCCCACCCTCCCCAACGTCCAACGCCCACGCTGGACGCTGCCACGGGCGCTCCTGACGCGCCTGCCTGAGGCTCACCCCTGTATCTTCCTCCCCGTGCAGCTTTTTGCTCTAAAGTCCCCAGTCTCAGCCACGGGAAAGGACATAGGGTCGCGGGATGGGACCAGGAGGTCCACCAGCCTCTCCACTGATGGCGCCGCCCAGTCCTCCACTAATGGCCTGCCTGGCCATCTCCAGCCCAGCCACCTGTTTCCAATCGTGGACTCAAGTAAGGCACGGTGACCATGGCACATCCCCATGGAAGAGGCGCCCAGGGCAACCATATGGTGCATGCACACCCCTCTAAGTCCCCCACTCCCAGAGCCTGTCATTACCAACGCAGGAGAAGGAGTGGGGCCTGGGGCATGTCCCTCCAGAAGGCAGCAGTAAACACAGGTGGCACCCCTGGTCAGTGGGCCTCCTGCCAGGACCTTTCCTCCTCTCAGTCAGCCCCACTTCTCGGATGGGAAAACCCAGGCAGAGACAGAGGACCTCTCTGGGATCTATGGAGGCCCAGGTCTGCACAGTCCTCACCCTGCCCCACCTAATGAGGGAGCTGAAGATAAGCGGTTGGGGAGGCCGCAGGTGGCATCACATCAGCCGGCTCAGGGGTCCACACCCTGGGATGGGATTCCAAGGGAGAGATGGAGGGTCTGCAAGCAGTGGCTCCTCCCTGGCCTCGGACAGCATCCTCTTGGTCTGCGACCTGCTTCCTGGACTTGTGGGATGGGGACGGGTGTGTGCCTTGCTCAGTGGGTAGGCCGGCACCAAGTCCACAATGGGTGAACAGAGCCAGACGTGGAGTGCAGAGGGGAACAGGATGGGGAGGAGCCGGCCAGGAGAAGGGAAGGGGTCCCTGAGGACAGGCAGGGGCTGTGCCCTGACCTCCCGCAGAGGCTGGCAGAGGTGGAGGCTACAGCCAAGACCCAGGCTCCACTCACACCTGCTGGGCCAGGTGCACGCATAACCCGTTGGCCTGAGGGACCGAAGGGTTCATCCCTTCCTCTGGTTCTCGGGACCGGGCTTGGCCCAGTCACCGCTGGGAAAACCGAGACCAACCCGGGGCCTGGACTGCAGAGGTCCAGCGGCCGCTCCACCGAGGGGTCCCCCGCGTGCGCGTCCCGCTGACAATTGAGCGGCCAAAGCAGATTAACCCTCGTGCTAATCCCCGCTAATGGTTTCAGAATCCCCGGCGCCGAGCGGCTAAGCCGGCCTTTCTCCGCGGCGCGGCCGGCCCTCCCCGGCGGCCTCAGCCCGCGGCCGCGCGATGCTATCTCGGCCCCGCCGCGCTAATCCCCGCGCTCGCTTTCTTCCCGGGCCCGCTCGAGATCGGCCGATTGGCCCTTGATTACGGCTGCTATCGAGGGCCTCTTTGTGCTGTGGGCCCTAAATCCCCTAATTCCGTGATAAAGGAGGCATTAGCGGGCGTTTGCTGCTGAGAAAGGCACCGGCATGAAAGAAAGCAATCAGGGGAATCCTGATGGCCTCGCCTGTCCCGCCGAGGAGGGGGCAGGAAAGGGGGCCCGGGTGGGCGCTGCGGGGAGAGGGAGGGTGGGGGCCACTTCCCACCTTCATCCCGAGTCCGCCTTCCCCAGCCCCGAGCTGCGCCCAGGACCCCTCCCCGCCCCCACCCTGGCTGCCGAGGGACCCCGCCTCCCCTCTGGCCTCACCTCCGCACTTGATGGGACCTAACCCCCAAACCGGCCTTGGACCTTGCTGGGCCTACCTTGTGCTCCGGCCTCTGACTGTCCAAAGCCCGTGGTTCCTCAGGACTTACCTGCAGATCCATTCCCTTGGCCCCTGATGCTCCTCTGCCCCCTCCTCACCCCCCGGAGTTCCTGCCCCCCATCTGCCCCTGTCTCTTGGCACTGACCAGCTTTGACCAGTCCTGGAAGCATCTGGGTCCGCTCTTTAGTCGGGGAAACAGAAGGGAGGGCAGCTGGGAGCGACTGGGATTGTGGAGGGAGCGTGTGTTGGGGGAGGGGGCCTGAGACCCCTGGCGGCGGGCAGGTGGGGTGCGCAGGGAAGGCCCCTCTGCAGAAGCCACGCTGAACCCCAGGATGGGGCTGAGAGCACCGGGCTGGCTGCGAGCTGGGTGCAGTGGCGGAGCTGACCCAGAGCCTGGGCAGCTGGAGGAAGGAGGCAGAGGCCAGCTGGGGCAGGTGGACAGAGGTGTCAGAGTCCAGGGGCTGGGGGAGCACGGAGATAAGGCAGCTGATCCTCTTATCCTGAGCGTTTGGAGCAGGGGAGTGCCGTGATTGGATCTGTATGCAGAGCGCACCTGAGCCACGACAGCAGGCTCATTTTGGGGAGGGTCTCAGGCCAGGAGAGTAGCCGGGAGTATGTAGAAAGGCCATTGTGGGGGCCCAGGTGGCCGGTATCTGCATTGGCACTGAGGGGGTGGCAGAACTGGTGAGATTTGGGGGTGGCAGTAGGGGAGTGTCCAGCACTGCATGCAGTTTGAGGCTGGGGCAGCTCTGAGGGCAGGTGGGTGTCATGGAGGCACATGGGTGGGTGGGCCACTTACCTGGGTGGACAGGTGTGCATTTACCAAGGTGAACGGAATTCTAGGTGTTGTTTACCTAGGTAGCGAGGTGGAAAGGCAGGCCGTTCACCAAGGAGGACCAGTGGGTGGGTGTGGACCAGCGGATGGTGTCGTGGACCCCTTCAGTGGTCAGCTCACCCATCCTGCGCCTCTGAGTGTTGGCGACCAATGGTGCACAGCTGCCTCCACCTTGGAATGTTGCCCTGGGTGGTGGAGCCACCTACACAGCAGACAAGGACTAACCAGCATAGGGACTAAAAGGCTGGTCCCTGCTTCCTCGAGACAGTTGAAAACTGAAGCAGCCTGTGTCTGCCCCAGTGCTTCCGTGGGGGTTTCCAAGGACCCAAATGCCTTGTCGCTTAACACTCCACCCCTCACCCGTGTCACCCTGTTCATCAGTTTCCCAGGAAGCAGGGCTCTCAGTGTGCAACTGGGATGGTTAGTCCCCCTATGCTTCTGTTGTGTGCCCCCAAAAAGAGATGTTGAAGTCCTAAGTGTTGGTACAAGTGTTGACCCTCCTTCTAGTTTATACCTGTTCATATCCAGTGTTTTCAGTTTTTTTAAAAATGTATTGTTCAGAGTTTATCATTGTTATCCATAGGAGGATTAGTCCAAAGCAAGTGACTCTACCATTGAGAGAAGTGTAACTCTGCTCACTCATTTTAAATATCTTTTGAGGCTTATCTAAATTACTAGATACCGGTTTTTTTTGTTGTTTGTTTTTTTAGTTTTTGTTTGTTTGTTTTGACCATGCTGCGTGGCATATGGGATCTTAGTTCCCCGACCAGGGATCAAACTGTGCTAGGCATAATAATGGTCCCCTCGAAAATGTCTACATCCTGAGCCCCAGAATCTGTGAATATGTTACCTTACATGGCAAAAGAGACTTTGCAATTGATTAAGTTTATCATCTTGAGATAAGGAGATTATTTCTGGTGGGCCCAATGTAATCATAAGGGCCCTTAAAAGTGGAAGCGGGGGAGAAGAGGTCAGAATGATACAATGGTCAGAAAGACTTGACCTACTGTTGCTGTCTTTGAAGATGGAGGAACAGGCTATGAGCCTTGAGAAACTGGGAAAAGCAAGGGGATGGGTTTTCCTTCATCTATGAAAAATATAACCTTTGCTGCATCTATGAAAGACCTACATCTATCATCATACTTAGGGCTTAAAGACTGAGTTGTTTCTCTCTCAGACTGGAAGCAAGGCAAAGATGTTTGATGTCTCAATTTTTATTCAATGATCTACTGGAGGTCTAGACATTTCAATAACACAAGAAAAAGAAATGAAAGCCTGGAAATTCCCTGGCGGTCCAGTGCTTAGGACTCAGCACTTTCACTGCCAGGGCCCACGTTCAATCCCTGGTCAGGGAACTAAGATCCTGCAAGCCATGCTGTGCTGAAAAAAAGAAAGGAAGAAAGGAATGAAAGCCATAAAGATTGTAGATGAAGAAGTAACACTAGCAGATAATATGTTCATGTGATATAGTCGTTTACATAGAAAACCTTAAAGTATATACAAAATCAAATTGAGGTCTATAAATTAATACATGAAATCAGCAAATTTGGATTGTATTTCCCCCCAAAAAATATGTTCTACAAAGGGCCAATAGGCACATGAAAAGATGCTCAACATAACTAGTCACTAGGGAAATGTAAATCAAAACCATAAGCTACCAGGAAGTTCCCTGGTGGCCTAGTGGTTAGGATTCAGCACTTTCACTGCGGAGGCCCGGGTTTGATCCCTGGTTGGGGAACCATCCCACGTGCTGCCAAAATACCAAAACAAAACAAAAACATAAGCTACCACTTCACATCCATTAGGATGACTACAAAATTTTTTTTTTTAAAAAAAGGAAAATAACAGATGGTAGTGAAGATGTGGAGAGATTGGAATTCTTGTGCTTTGCTGGTGGGAATGTAAGATGGTACTGCTGCTATGGAGAACAGCTTGGCAGTTTCTCAAAAGTTAAACATACAATTATCATGCGATCCAGCAATTCCATTCCTAAGTATCTACCCTAAATAAGTGAGAGCAGGGACTCGAGCAGATACTTATACACCCATGTTCACAGCAGCACTATGCACAATAGTCAGAAGGTAGGAACAACCCAAATGTCCACTGACGGATGAATGGATTTTAAAATGTGATGTATACATGCAATGGTACTCAGCCATAACCCCTGGTTGTCAGGGGCTGAGGGTAGGAGGAAATGGGGAGCTAGCATTTAATGGGTACAGGGTTTCTGTTTGGGATGATGGGAAAGTTCTTGAGATGATAATGATGATAATTTACAACATTGTGAATGTACACTTAAACATGGTTAAAATGGTAAATTCTATGCTATGTATTTTTTACCACATTAAAAAATAAAATAATAGAAGAGCAAAAGACTGAAATCACCAGACCCAAAGGAGTGTCACGATCCCTTGCTCAATTTCCAGCCAGTTCTCAGACCCAGACCTCGTCTGCTGAAGTCTCCTCCCGTGAGGAAGGATCCGGCAACACTGTGGAGAGTGTTTGTAGGCTTGATGCCCCTAATCCTCTGCAAAGGTACGTATGTCCCTTTCCTCAGGTAATTTTATGCTGGAGAAGAGGAAAACCCAGGCCATCTCAGAGCCATTGGATACAGTCTCCATGTTAACACTGGTCCCTGGGACCCAATGTGCCATCATGGCCTCTCCGTTGGATTGGGAATATAGAGAGGGCAGGCGATAAATGGAGTACTGACCCAACTCCATCTCACAGGGGACACCAGGGGGCTCCTAACCTACCCACTGGCTATTCTCCAGTTTCTGAATGCATAATTGGAATAGACATATGTAACATTTGGCAGAACTTCCGCAGTGGTTTCTAATCTTTAGAGTAAGACCTATTTTGTAAGTGAGAGCTCCTGAACTGCCCCCTACCAAGATGAAAAAAATGCTTTCTCTTAGGAAGAATAGCAGAGTTGAACGTCATGGCTAAAGACTTAAAGGCTGCAGGGGGTGGTCTCTAGCAAACCCATGATTTAGTTCATTAGTCTAGCTCCTGAAAAAAATAGATGGATTGTACAACAGTTCTTTGTGATAAAACACTCAACAAACTTGAAATAGAAGGGAACTTCCTCCACCTGATAAAGGGCATCTATAAAAACAATCCACAGCTAACATGATACATTATGATGAAGACTGAATCTTTTCCCTCTAAGAGCAGGAACAACATGAGAGTGCCCACTCTCACCACTGCTGTTCGGTGATTTATTGGAGGTTCTAGCCAGGGAACTTAGGAAAATGAAGCAGAAGGCACCAGAAGGTGTTGTAAAGGAAAAAGTAAAGATCTCTGTTCACAAATGACATTACCCTGTATATAGAAAACCTTTAGAATCCACAAAAAGCTATTAGCATTAATAAACAAATCCAGCAGGTTGCAAGATACAAGATCAATGTACAAAATCAATTGTATTTCTATACACTTGCAGTGAGCAATCTGAAAATGAAATTAAGAAAACCATTCCATTTATAATAGTATCAAAAAGAACAAAATACTGAAGAATAAATTAAAGAAGTAAAAAATGTATACTCTGAAAATTACAAACATTACTGAAAGAAATTATAGATGATCTCAATAAATGGAAGACATCCTATGTTCATGGATTGGAAGAGTTAATGTTGTTAACATGGCAGTGCTCCCCAAATGGATCTACAGATACAATCTCTATCAAAATTCCAGCTGGTCTCTTCGAATAAACTGATAAGCTGGTCCTAAAATTCACAGGAAAGTTTGTGGGAACCAGAATAGCCAAATCAATGTGGAAAAAAAGAACAAAGTTAGAGAGCTCACACTTCCCAATCTCAAAACTGACTGCAAAGCTACAGTAATCAAGACAGTAAGGATAAATGTATAGATCGATGGAGCAGAATTCAGAATCCAGGAGGAAGTCCTCACATTTATGGTCAATTGATTTGCAACTGGAGTGTGGGGAACAATTCAAGGAGGGAAAGAATAATCTTTTCAACAGATAGGACTGGGACAACTGGATATCCGAATGCAAAAGAATGACATTGGATCCTCAGCTAACATCATACACAAAAATTAACTCAAAATGGATCAATGTAAGAGCTAAAACTAGAAAATTTATAGTTTATAACACTGTAAAACATCAGGGTTAATCTTCATGATCTTGGATTTGGCAATGTCTTCTTAGAAATGACACCAGAAGTTTAAGCAACCAAAGAAAACAATTCAACTTATTCAAAATCTTAACATCTTGTGCTTCAAAAGACACTATCAAGAAAGTGAGAAACCACCTACAGAATCGGAGAAAATATTTGTACATTATATATCTGATAAGGAGAGGGGGATGGTGCCAGGCTACAGCCTTGGGACCATGGCAGCTGCAGCCTGTCCCACTAGCCTTCCACTTACATCCAGAAAATGTGCCCAACCAGAATCCTGGGGAGTTTGACTTCAGTGCACTTAACGTGAGAGTGGGTGGGCTGAGGGTGGCAGGGCTGCAGGAAGTGCCCCAGCGGTGTGAGCTGGTGACTTGCAGCTGCCCCTTCCCTGGAGCATCACTGGTGGGAGCTGCCTTGGCCGAGAAGGCTGTGCACCCCAACCTCACTAAAGGGGGCCCCAGAACCCCTGGGCTAGAGTGGAACCAGCCTCCCCTCAGCACCCACCCCCACTCCCTCGGGTGCTCCCCCACCACAATCACTGATTACATCACCATCACTCCAATGTTGCCTTTTTCAAAGTGTCCAATACATGCAGTCATACAGTATGTAGCCTTTTGAAAGTTGTTTACTAAATATGATGTGTGTGAGGTCCATCCCTGTTGTTGCACGTGTTGCTGTCACTCTGGGCTCCTCCCTGGTGTGCATGGACCCTGGACCCCGGCGTGTTCATCCATTCACCAGCTGATGAGAGTCTGAGTTGTTTCCAAGCTTTGTCGATAATGATTAGAGCTGCTCTAAACATTCATGGGCAGCGTCTTGTGTGAGCACAAGTTTTCATTTCTCCAGGGTGAATCCCAGGGGTGGAATTGCTGATACATGCGGTAGGTGTAAATCTAACTCTGGCTGCTTTGTTTTGAACATCTCTTTCTCCTTCCTCTGTAGGGAGCCAGAGGAAGCCAGGCAGCTCCTTCAACACCCCCGCTGGGCATCTCCGTAGCTACATCATCTGCCTCACCAGGTACATTTCCTATTTCCTGTTCTATGACAGGTGACAATGTTGTTAAACTACTTGCCACTCCACAACAAGGGTTTCCTTCCCTCCATCTTCCAGTACATTCTCCTCACCTTCCCTAAGACCCACCGTCAGTCTCAGCAGGTTCCTTCCCGCTCCCCCCGCCCCCCGCTGCCTGGTCACAAAGCCAGTGCCCATGGTTTAGGGTTTGTATCTGCAGCATTGCATTCCAGTACCAGGACCCGTCTGGTTACCTAGAGCCCATGATAGCCACCTCACACTCAGTGCTGAGGACACCACAGTCACCTCCTATTGTTGCCTCTCGCCGTTCTCACTTTCCATCTCCTGCGATTGCAGTAGATGGTGGCTGGGACAGAAGCCACCGGAAGGCTGACTCACCCCTTGGTGGTGCTCCATACTGGCTGTTGACTGGTCCTTAAGCTGGAGCTGCTGGCGGGAACTGCTCTGCCTGTCCTCTCCTTGTGGCTGCAGGCACCTCCTCGCAGCATGGTGGCTGAGCTCGGAGAACAAGCATCCCAAGATGAGAGAGAGAAACTGTGTCACCCAGCTGTAGGACCTGGCCTCAAAAATCACAGTGTCACTTCTGCTGCCTCCTAGTGGTTAGAAGCGAGTCACTAAGCCAGCCCACGTTCAGGGAGAGGGGATTAGATTTCACCTCCTGAAGGGAGGAGTGTCAAAGTATTTGCTGACATCTTTGTAATGCATCACGGTGGGCCGCTTATCACAGTGGGCCGCTTATCAAGGTGGACAGGTGGAGAGATGGTGCATCTACCAAGGTGGATAGGTGGGTAGGTGCCCCATTTATCAAGGTGGGGAATACCAAGCAAGGGATGGATTTTGAGATCTTGAGTCTGCCCCAGGCATGGTGACTGGGAGATGTTCATTGGTGGCTGAAATGGGACATGGAGCAGATGCTTAGGGAGATGAGTGCCTGGAGCAGAGGGAGAAGTCAGGCTGGCGGTATCAACTGGGGAGTCCTTGGCACAGGGGTGGTGTCTGAAGCTTCAGAAATGGGGAGGGATAAAGGAACAACCAGGGCCCAGCCTTTATGACCACTGACCCTGTAGCCCCCATCCTTGAGGAACTGACTTCGATGGGTAGTCGGCCCCCAGGTGCCTCTCTGATCTAATGGTGAGCACATGGTTCTGCGAGGGAAGTTGGCTGGGAGAGGTTTCCAGGGTCACCCAAAGGGACACGTGGGAAGAGATGGGAGCTCTGGGGCAGTGGCAGCCATCTTGCGACCATGAGGTGGCCCACTCACAGATATGGTGGCTCCTTCACAGAGCTTCCAGATTAACAGATCCTGGGCAGTCCTGGTGTCAGGACTCTTATGACAGTTGAGTCCGCAGGTTCTGTCACTTGAAGTCCAGAGTCCTCACTGACACCAGAGTGGAGTCAGCAAGGGAGCTTGAGGAAGGGTGTGTGAGGTGGGAGGAGAAGCATGAGACCGTGTGTTGCCCCCCTAATGGTACCTGCCATTCATGGAGGCCCCTGCCCAGCGGGGTTCTAACCTCGCACACAGTAACTGGTTGAGCCCTCCAAGCACCTGAGAGTTAGGTCACTATTATTATGCCAGTTTATAGATTGGGAAACTGAGGCACGGCGGGGTGGTGGCGGTGGTGGTGAAGGAACCTATCCCACAGCCAGGAAGTGACAGCTGGGGCAGAAGCCAGGCCGTCTGCTGCTCTGTCCTGTGAGCCACACAGTAACTTTTCAGAGGTCCAGAGAAGGCCTTCAGCAGAAGTCCTGGCCAGCTGCTTAGATGAGGACGAAATGGTCTTCCTGCTTAGATGAGGACGAAATGGTCTTCCTGGAATTTGGCAAAGTGCAGGTCACCGACAAAGTTGGGCAGAATGACCCGGAGGGATGGTGTGGACGGAGCTGAGGAGTGGGGGTGTGGACACAGGAGTCAGCTCCTGAGAAGAATGGCTGTGATGAGGGTGGGGAGGGGGTGGTAATGATTTGGGGTGGATTCTGGGAAGTACCGGAAAGCAGATGATAAGTTTCCCCAGAGCACATAAGTGGGGCCTCCGATGGGGCCCAGGAGAAAAGGCAAAGAATTGGAGGCCCAGGGCAGTGGGGCTGCGGGTTTGGTGATGAGTAGAGATAGCTTCCCCCCCGCAACCCCGTTTCCTCCACGAGGTTGAGACCCGGGCTTCTAAGTATGTGTGTGGAGGGGGCGGGGGAATTTGGGCCGAAGTGCGGTGGGACCGCGGGGTTGCCGAGGGTATTGGGCCCCATTTGAGGTTGAAGCTCAGGAGTTTGGGGGCCAGGAGACTGTGCAGTTTGGGGGGGGGTGTTCTCCAGACTTGCTCCTCCGCCTGGTAGGTCCCCGAAGGGGACAAGGAACCAGCCCTGGTCGCGGTGGCTACAGGACCAGGGCACCCAGGAGTTGGGCCACGAGGCGGCCCCGCGCCCAGGGTCTGCCGTGGTCCGGGCGTCCTCGGGCCCTTGCCCACGCCGCAGGGTTGGACAGGGAGCTGGCGGGCACTGGAGGCGGCCCTGCGCGCCTCTGCCAGCTCTGCGAGTCGGGGGCATGGACTCGCGGCGCAGGGCTTCTTGCGACCGCTCCCGCCCGCCTCCGCCGCCGCCGGGGATTAGCACGCTCCTGGCCGCGCGGCGGGATTAACCCGCGTGGACGCGGCGCCCGGCTCGGGGATTACGGCGCGCCCCCTCGACGGATATATTCCCGCGGCGACGGCGACGGCGGGCGAGAGGAATGGCGGCGGCGCGGGGCGCGGCGGGCCGCAGGGGTCCCGGGCGGCCCTGCCCCTTCTCCATCGAGCACATCCTCTCCGGCCTACCCGAGAGCAGCCCCCCGGCCCGGGTCGCCCGCCCGCCGCCGCCCGCCGGCCGCCAGAGCCCCGCGGAGCCGCGGCAGCCTGAGGCGCCCGAGGCCGTGCCCTGCGCCTGCTGCTGCTGCTGCGGCCCCCGCGCGGCGCCCCGCGGGTCCCCGGAGCCGGCCGCTGGCCTGGGTGAGTGGGCACGGGGCGCGGGAGCTGAGGGACCCGGGGCGGCGCAGGGGGGTGAGGAGCCCGGCCCCCGGCCCGCGCCTCACCGAGCCCTCGTCCCGCAGGCGCGCGACTACCGTGGCCGCTGAGGCTGGGGCCCGCGGCGCCCTTGCCCTTGGCCGCACCCACCGGGGGCTCCGGGGCGCCGCCCGCCGCGGGCGGTCCTGGTTCACAGCGGCGCACGCGGCGCCACCGCACCATCTTCAGCGAGGAGCAGCTGCAGGCGCTGGAAGCGCTCTTCGTGCAAAACCAGTACCCCGACGTGGGCACTCGCGAGCGCCTGGCCGGCCGCATTCGCTTGCGCGAAGAGCGCGTGGAGGTGGGTGCCTGCAGCCTTGGAAGAGTCGGCCTCGCGTGGCGGGCGGAGGCGCACAGGCCCCGGGAAAGCAGGGGCGCCGGGTGGGTCCCTGGCAGCGGCGCCTGGGGATGGCGCGGGAGGAAGGGCGCGGGCTGGAGCAGAGGTCGGGCTCGTTTTCTTTTCCTTAGTTTTAACCCCCTACCCCCCGCTCAAGACAAATGAGGCGCGCGTTTCTGTTCCGGAATTTGGGGAACTTGGAAGAGCGCGAAGCTGTTGAAGGGGCGTCCCGGGCGCCGTCGGACGGAGGCGGGGGTGGGAAGGGGCGGACGAGGAGAATGCTCCGGGTGGGAAAGGGGTCCCAGTTCCGAGGCCCGAGCGCCGGTCCCCATCAGCAGCGGATGAGGGGCGGTGGCTCAGCCGCTGCGCGGGGCCGGCCCCGCAGCCCGCGTCCGTCCCGAACCCCCGGCCGGTGCACTTGGGAACCGCGCGGGACGCGGGGTCCGGGGCTGGGCCTGCCTGAGCGCCCCTCCTCCTCCTCAGGTCTGGTTCAAGAACCGCCGGGCCAAGTGGCGACACCAGAAGCGCACATCGGCGTCCGCGAGGCTCCTGCCGGGAGCCAAGAAGCCCCCGAAGGAGAGCTGCTGACGGCTGCAGAGTTACTCCTGGGCTCGGTGGCACCTTATGGGGCCGGCTCAGGGAGAGGACAGACCTACCCTAATAGGAGTTGGGAGAGGACGCCAGCCTCTAACCTGGTGTCTGCCCAGTTGCCTGCGTCCTGGAGCTCAACGCGGGAGCCCCTCTGCGTGTGTCCCCGCGCCACCCGCCCCGCGGAAGGAGAGCGCACCGATGCTCCGTGCTCCATGCGCCTTCCCTCCCAAGCGCAAGCGGGCAGGAGGGCCGGGGAGACTCGGGGGTGGGGTGCGGGGCACAGAGCAGATCAACTTCCTCAATCCCCCACCACACCCCAGGAGGCACCAAGCCACCCCAGGACAGGAGCCACCCCTTGTCAACAGTGGCACCCAGCGTCCTCATCCCCGCCCACTTCCTGCTGGCCTCAGTCATCTCCTCAGCAGGGACGCAGCCCCCTTGACTGGCCTAGAACCCTCCAGAGGCTGGGCGGGTGGGGTCTCTGCGTCCTGGGGCTGGTGCCAGGGGCCTGGGCGTCCTGACCCGCGGAATAAGAAGGCTGGGGGAGGTAATCTCCAAGCCCCGTTCCTGCTGCTCAATCTTGTGAGTCTTGTGTGGATACTGAGAAATAAACAAGCTACTACAAGCTCTGAGAAAGCAGTCCAGACTCGAAGTCTTCCGTGGCTCCACTCCACACCCAGCCGGGACCTGCCCCTCCTCTCCTTCCCAGGGAGTGGGGGGCAGGCTTGTCACAGCCCGGTGAGTCCTCCGTCCCTGTGCCAGGGTGGGCCCAGCAGAGCAGATTGCCCCACAGATCGTGGCCCGGCATCCTGCACTGGCCTCTAGGAGCTGCCTCTTGGGTGGGGGTCCTTGGTTTCCTCACTCTGGGGTTTCCATGTAGGAGTGTCTGCCTCCCTCACAGCAGCCAATCTCTGCCACCCTGTGGGGTGGGACCAGGTTCAATTGGGAGAATCCCCCCCTCCACTGCCTTGGAAAATGCTGTCCCCTCCATCATCCTGGCCCCAGCAAGAAGGACAGCGTGAAAACAAGGCCTCAGTTCCCCAAGTTGGCCTGTATGGTGGGTGCGAGGCACCTAACACCCCCCTCACCTGGCGTGGGGACTTTGTTCTGCCTCCTCACAGATCCTGGAGGGATGCAGGTGGGTATCTGGCAGGAGACACAGTCCCTCCACAAAAGGTGCAGAAGCCAGGGCAGCTCCTGGGCGGAACTCTCTGAGGCAGGTCAGCTCAGAGAACACAGAGCGCGAGGGGTCCCTGGGCAGGACAGCAGCTCTTGCTCACCCTCCAGGATGCACACTTCCTGTTGTCACAGAGCCCATTTTCCTGAATCCTGGCCGTATCCCTGGAGACGGCACAGACTGCCTGTGGAGCTTCCCTACGGCTGGGACACCCTCATCCCCCTGGTCCCAGAAAGCTCGCCCTCGTTTGCTGAGTGGCTTTACTTCATGGTGTGGGGCACCCGTGATCAGTGCTCTGCTTTCAAGGGACCAGTAGTTATGCTGCCCTCCTGGCTTTTCCCTCCTCTCCAGCTATCTTGGGCAGGCTTGCCCCACAGCTGCCTGTAACACAGGTGTCCTTGGGCCAAGCCCAGACTCTCCCCTCTCATATCCATTCTCACCCTGGTTTATCTCATCCAGCCTCAGGCTTGAGTCCCATCTCCGTCTCACGTTTACATCCCAGCCCAGGGTTCTCCCCTGTGCTAGGTAGTTATGTCCAGCTGTCCCTTTGATGACTCCACCTGGAAGACCAGGGCTCCTCTAGGTCACTTTGTCCATGGCAGGCTGTTTCCCTGTGCATCCCCGGTGCGTGAGCCAGAGAACTAGGGGCAGGCGTCCTGACCCCTCTTCTCCCTCACCCACCAAACCCAGGCCAACGGCAAGTCGATTTTACCTCCCCAAACATTCCCAGAATCTGCCTTCTCCCCAGCTTCGACTGCACCAGCCTGATGAAAATCGCTGTCATCTCTCACCTTGACCGTTGCAGCTGCCTCCAACTGGTCCACCTGTACCTACTCCGGTTCGTCTGTGATTCATTCTCCATAAAAGTCAGGGTGCAACTCTGAACATGCCTCTCCCCTGCCTACAGCACTCCCAGGGCTCGCACTGCTCCCAGAACAAAGACAGAACTCCTCGCCATGACCCGTGACCCATGACCCACGAGCCCCGTGCAGCCTGGCCCTGCCCCTCTGGCGTCAGCTCCCACCCCACTGCTCCTTGCACTTTGTGTATCCAAAGGTCTCCTCCCACTGGAACTTTGCACATGCTCTCCCCCTCCACCTGTTCAATGCCTGTTCATCCTTTGGATCTGAAACCACTTCCTTCCTGGGGAACTTCCCCTGACTGCCCCCTAGGTAGGCTGTCCCCTAGGTAGGCTACCACCTAGGTAGCCTGGGTAGGATGCCCGCTAGGTAAGATGCCCCCTGGGTAGGATGCCCCCTAGGTAACATTCTTTTTTTTTTGCACCTACCCGCTGCTGTGTTATGCTTGTTTGTGGGTTGATCTGGTTAGTGTCTGTCTTCTGCATTCAACTGTCAGCTCCACAAGGGGAGGAATCATACCATGGAGTCCCCACTGAATTTTACTGAATCGTTCTGGGGCAGAAATTGTTTGACATAATTTACAACCTTTTGGGAAGACATGATCTTTCGTGAGAAATGCTTAGACAATTTTCTTGTCCATTTCAATGAGGATTAGACTTCTGGGAAGCCAAATCTGGCACTTAGGCACCAGACATTTCTTTTCTTGCATAAACTTTGAATAAAAAGTTTGAAACATATATAACCAAAATTTCGGAAGCGTATTTTTTTAAATAACATAGAAGCGTATATTGATTATTTGAGAGAAATTGGAATTCCAAGGCTTCCAATTCCGTAGTGCTTTAATTTTTCACGACTAGCGGGAGCAACATGCCCCTAGCCCCTACCGCAGCGCCCCGTAGCTCCCACAGCCCAGATTCTAAAGACCAGAGCAGGGAGGGACGAAGACTACAACTCCCATAAAGCTCAGGGCTCATGGCGACGTCACACGGAGCGCGGGCCGGCCTTCGAAACGCGCGGCTACCCCATTGGTAGGGCTGTTTCAGGCGCCTGCGCAGTTGGAGCGCCCCGCCCCCGGCCTGCGCCGCGCCTGCGCCGCCGGGGCGGTGCTGGGATAGCGATGGAGACGCCTGGCCCTGCGGTCCGGGCCGTGCTGGTGCCCGCGGCGTCCGGCACCCGGAGGAAGCGCGCCGCCGGAGAGGCCGGTGCTCCGACGAGCAGGCAGCGGGTCCTGGACGAGGAGGAGTACATCGAGGTAGGACTCGGCGTGGACGCCAGCGATTTCCAGGCCACGTCCCTGCCCCGCGCTCCCCTACCCCGCGCTCCCCCCGGGTCGCTCCCTGGGTACCGACGCTCTTGTCCGCTCGCAAAGGTGGAGCAGCCCGAGTCTCTGCCCTCAGGATGTGGACAGTCGGGGGGGACGAACAGGCACAGTGTGGAGCGAGGTGTCCCTGCTGTTAGGGAGCAGAAGGGGCGGATGTGTCTGTACGCCTTGGGGGGTGGCGGGTGTCAGGGAAACAAGGTTCTATTAAAGGGTAAGTAGGAATTTGGGAGGATGGCGATAAAGAGGGTTTCTTGGAGAGCGATAATGGCAAGTGTTAAGGCTGGGGGTCCTGGAAACGGGCTGCCACTATGGCAGCATCATTGAGCGGGTAGGCATCCCACCGCCCTTGAAGTAGGAGGAGCTGGCACGGGACTGGGAGGAAGTTGGTTAAGTTTAGGAAGCTCCTGGGATGTGCAGGTAGATGGCGTTAATGGGCGGCTGGGTGTACAGAAGTGCAGCTCAGGGGCAAGTCTGGCTGGAGGTGCGAAGCTGGGAATCTCCACCAGTGCTGGTGGTGGGATGACTGGCTGAAGGCATCCCGGTGAAGGATTCAGACTGGAAATAGGAAATCATGGGTGGAATGAAGGTGGCAACACGCACATTGGTCCAGCTGGTGTGGAGGTGGAGCCAGTGAAGGAGAATGAAATTGACCAGTTAGTGAGGGAGAGGGAAGGCTTTGAAAGTGCACCCAGTGGGAGTTCCCTGGTGGTCCAGTGGTTAGTACTCCACGCTCTCATTGCCAAGGGCCTGGGGTCAATCCCTGATAGAGTAACTAAGGTCCCACATCCCACAAGCAGCATGACGTGGCCAAAAAAGAAAAAAAAATTACAGCACTACGTAACGCCAAGTTCTGGGGATTCTTGGTCTGGACAGAGGTTGGGGGCCTCACACGTACCCTGTGGGCTGAGTGGCAGAGGAGAGGCAGATGGGAGCTCTGACTTATGTTCTGATCGCGCCTTTAGGGCCTCCAGACGGTTATCCAGAGGGACTTCTTTCCTGATGTGGAGAAGCTGCAGGCACAGAAGGAGTACCTGGAGGCCGAGGAGAATGGAGACCTGGAACGGATGCGCCAGATCGCCATCAAGTTTGGCTCTGCCCTGGGCAAGATGTCCCGAGAGCCCCCTCCGCCCTGTAAGAGGAGTCCTGTGGGGGGGCGGGAGGGGACTCCCGCTGAACTGTTGCTTCAGGCTCCCTCCAATCCCCATCCCCTCTCTTCCCCCAGATGTGACTCCAGCCACATTTGAAACCCCTGAGGTGCACACAGGCACCGGGGTGGTGGGCAGTAAGGCCCCAGGCCGGGGCCACAGCCTGGAGGACGGTGATGGTAAGTGAGCGCCCCATTTCCCTCACGCTGTTGGGTTTGCCTGGGGACCTTGTCTGTGGGGCCCTGGGGTGCTCAGGGGAAGGCTGCTTCTTGTCCCTGAGGGTCTCTCCTTAAAGGGCAACCCATGGGGTCTAAGAGGCAGAAGATCTGGGTTCAGCTCCCAAACATGGGGGTCATCTGAGCCTCCAGCCCTCCTCCGTGGCATGGGAATCTCGCCTCCCCTCTTGCTGGCCTGCTCACTGTACCAACCTCTGTCCGGGGGGCGTCATGAGCCTGGGGCGGGGGCTCCTTCCCTCACTGCTTCCTTCAGATGCCTCAGGGCCTCTGCACTTGCTTCTCCTGAGCTGGTCGCCCCCTGTGGGTGACTGCATGGCTGCTCCTTCTCTTCCTTCAGATCTCTGCTCAGATGCTGCCTATCAGGGAACCTTCCCTGACCTCCCAGCGCAGTCACTCACCCTGTTCTCTGTGATTTGCCACCTGGCTCTGTTTTCTTGCTGGAGGACACGCCAGTTTAAAAGGCGTTTCTGTTTGTTTACCATTTCTCCCTCCACAAAAGCAGGTCCTTTTGCTCTCGTCTGCATGCCCTGCACCTAGGGTGTGCCTGGGCCTCCGGGTCTCCAACACGCTTACTGGAGTGTAAAGATTCATCCTGACTTTTCTGGGGAGCCTTCCCCAGAAGGAGCATCTTGGGCCCTGTGAACAGTGTGCCGTGGGCCTCCTCTCAGTCGGTGCTTCATCAGGGGTGGACATGTGTGTGTGTAGATGGCCATGAGCTGCTCTCTACTAGCGTCGCATCCACAGTGTGCTCCGCTGGCACTGGTGCCCTGTGCGAGCACATGTGTGACGTTTTCTGCTCCAGAACCCAGCCTCCTGCCAGTCACAGCGCGTCCTGTGTGTCCTCAGAGCGTGGTTCTCCATTGCGATGTGGCTCGAGAATCACAGACTGTTGGCAGATTC